TTAAAAATGTTGTAGCCACCTCAACCAAAGTGTTAAATCACTACACAAAGAAAATACGTCAAATCAGCTTAAAACATTAAAAAATGTTGTAGCCACCTCAACCAAAGTGTTAAATCACTACACAGAGAAAATACGTCAAATCAGCTTAATACATTAAAAAATGTTTTAACTACTTCAAACAAAGTGTCTAACTATGCATAGGCAAAAAAAGAGGATCTCTTTTTGTCAACTGTTTTTGATGTAATACCGACATTACAATCTGTTTAAAAATACTTTGTATCCCTACACTAAATTGTAAAAATGTAACTGAATTGTATTGTTGAATAAAAGTTACTAACGTAACTATATAAAACAATGTTTTGTTTCACTAGACAACTACATTGTAGCAACTACTGGAAACATTGTTAATACCTTAAAAACATTTCTCTAAACCATAAATTTACTTGAATTAGATGAATTATCATTTAGCATATGCTATTATCCAAAGCAATTTAAAGAGATTTGTGGATGTTGTCCCTTATGATAGGATCAAAGAATGCCATTTCTCATCTGAAAAGTTACATGATAATTTGTATGTTGCTGGTGGAACATCTCTAATCCTACTGCATCATATTGATGCAGTAACTTGTTTGGACAACCACAATCTGGTAAGACAGGAAACCAAAGAAATCTGAGAAGATTTCTAGCATAAAGCTTCGGCCCAAGGTCCCAAAGAAACAGGAACACCTCCAAAGACTTCATCCCAAAACATGACATAGGTCTCAGAGGTAAGAGGGAGGGAGGCACATACCAAAAAGGAAGGAATCCCGACCAAGCAAATTCCAAAAACAAAGAAATCATGTCGACAAAAACACAGCAATAGAAGAGGTCGAGGCCAAGGTGGCAAACAAATTGGAATGAGTGTCTCCATCTAAACTGATGCAACCATAATGGAGAACCTACAAAAAATGAAGAATGGATAATTAGTGAAGGAGCTGCATGGTGATAAGACAAAAGCAAATAGATTGAGAATTAAGTAAAACAAAAGGAGGGCACCCAAACAGGGAAAGAGATTCTAGGGATTGAGGTTAAAGAAAAACAGAAGGATCATGATCATAAGCCATAGAAAAAGTCATAAAGTTGAGGATGATGCAGATCAGCACACAGTTGGAACAGAAAAGCTTCAGCATGAACATAAATGTCTGGGAAAGGGGAAAAAGAAGGTAGACATACGTCTTCTTCACCAGGAAGAGAAAAAACAGAAGCAAAGGCAGGTGGAGGAAAAAGCTGGTTGAAGTCATCATCAGATGATACAGGCTCAGCAGAAGCAACAGAAAAAAGAATAACGAGGGATCTGATGGAAAGATGAAGGAGGCAGAAGAGTACCAACCACCTGATGTATGACAGCAGTCACATGGTTGACAGGAAAAGTGCCTAGTCACCATAGTAGAAATAGCAGAAGGAGAATCCTGAAGTGGAGTGTCAGAGCCTTGGAAAGAAACATGGATCTGAGAATTCAGGGTCAAAAACAACCCACAAATTAACACTGGTTGTCTTTTTGTTTTATGTGGAATGTTCATAAAGTGGTCTAAGGGACTACAAGTACCCTTGTAGGGTACTTGTAGTCCACAAAAAAAAAGGAACTCTAAGACATACTAATGAGTGAGACAAAGAAAAAGGACTCAAGCACCCATACTACCGTGCAAATTTAGAAAAAAGTACAAGAAAAAACATGACTGAAAGTAGTGTCGAGGAAAGAACGAGTCTGTGTTCACATGCATATGAGAGACGTGTTGCTGTTCTAGTGGTGGAAGGCTATATCTAATGATGTTTATATCATAGATTGGTGCAATACATGTTTACACTTGTATGGGTGGGAGCATTATTCACAGCTTGTGTCACATGCAGGAAGTTACACACAGAGGTGTACAAAATAACAGCTCTTTGTGGTACAGGGAGGCAAGTAGCATTTCTGAAATATTATTTTCTCTTGAGAAAAAAAGGGCAAGAGGTGATCTTATTAAAGATTACAAGCTAACCTGGGATACTGATAGGATAAAGGCCTCTAATATATTTATGCTGTATTCTTAAGATGCTAGGATGAAATGACACAACTTTAAAATTTAGAAAAGACAAGCTATATTTCAGTTAAGACAGTTTTATTATTTTAACAGGATGATTGGTTTATGGAATGAACTGGTATTGGCAGTAATGGAACCCAGTACTGTACAAGTTAAAAAAGGAATTGTTAACTTCCTAAACTATAAAGAGTGTGTTTTAAAGTTTTACTTTTCTCAAAGGTGGATGTGCAAGAATAGTATAGAAGGACCAAAGTAATCATTAGCATGAAAGTAACTGCAACAACTGCTCAGATCAAACACTGGTAGTTTAATTCTTTATAAACAAAACAATCAAGATAAGTAGGAACTGCCTTAGAAATGTTGGAAAACAGGAGCCTGATAAAAGTTGTCAATTTTTAAGTACACATGTCTTGTCAACATTTTAGAAACACTGCATTTAATATTCATGTAAGCATTAAAAAAACTCTAAGAATGATAAAAATAAATTAGATGTCCATTGTACTGAATAAAAATTTAAACTTACTCCAAAAGCCATATAAACTGTGTAACTAAAGGTAAATATAAATAACACTCCAAATGCATGCAACTGAGAGCAAGCTTGCATAATATGATATAGTTATACTCTAACAGAGTATATGATACATATTCTAACAAGTAAAGGAAAAAAAAATTCAAAAAATGAAGTAAATAATGAAGTACATAATAGCACAGGCAAGGGATGACACAAACTCCATCCCCACTATCTTGTTTGCATTGTTTTTTGAAGGATTGTAATTAGCCTTACTTACTTTTTTGAAAAGCTTTTTTCTGTACTTGTTTGCTTGTTTTTTAATGCAGTGTTTCAATAGAAATAGGAAGGTTATACTTATAACCAAGTTCTAAATAAAATGAGGTTCCAACAGTAATATTTATTGTTTATCTATTATTGGCTGGTAATTCCTGTTTCAACCTGTACTTAAGCTTTTTAAATGAACATCAAATTTCTGTAAGAAAGCTAACTTCCAGGGGTAATGATAACATCTGAAACTATGTCACCTCAGTGAAATTGGTTGACACCATTGTTTTGGTTAATAAAAATGAAGAAGAAGAAAGAAGAACAAGAAATTTAAACTTTTTCCTATGATATTTACAGCCATCCTCAGAACTTGTGACTCAGTCATTACATAAATATTGTTATAAAAGGAAACACTATATAGTATTGTAAAGTTCTGATGACTTATTGAAGAGATATTTAAAATATCATTTTAAGAAACTCCATGTACAAAATGGACCAAACATATTTAAATTTCAACATAATTATAAAAGTGAAAAAATCCATTATTACTTAGTAAATCTCCATGATTCATGTATATTATACATTATATTCACTTGTTCAATTTAAAACATAATTTTAAAGCAAAACATGCAAAATGTGTTATGATGACTTATTGAAGAGATATTTAAAATACCATTTCAATGAACAATCCAAGCCATCCATACATTGGCAGTGCTACCACCTGCCTGATAAATCTGACACTGACACATTTGCATGTACAGTAAGAAAAGCAGAATATATACAATCAGGTTATGTATGCTTAGATAAACTCATTAATTGTTGTTACAAAAAAGTCTTACTCCACTAATGAGCAACAAATATTTCTATCAGCAGAAAATAATTTCTGAATATGACCAATCAACAACAAATAAAAAATAAATATTTGTATAATTACCTAACAGTTTTTAGATACACAATTTACTTATCAAATTAACAATTTAATATTTTCTATTTTGTGATTTTAATCAATTTCTTTTACAGAAACTGGAATGTTAAAATGTTTATATATTAAATATAACTTTTATCTGTATCTATAAATTGACAAAATTATTTAAAATCATCAACATATTTAAATTTCAACATAATTATAAAAGTGAAAAATCCATTATTACTAAATAAATCTCCATGATTCAATGTATATTATATATTATATTCACTTGATCAATTTAAAACATATTTTTTAAAGCAAAACATGCAAACACTAAATGCATACATGTGTTGTTACATTAATAATTTAACTTCTTGTTTTTAATATTCATAATTTCTTTTTTTGTAGTTTCTGTTTTCCCTTTGCCAATTTCTTCATTCTTAAATCTCTGCATTTCTTTCGCTTTAGACTACACACAACTCTTTTAACAGCTTGAGCAATATCTTCTGCTGTTACATCAGTTCTGGTAAGTGTAATCCAGTCACCTTCAGAGACCCCTGGTGGTACTTCAGTCATACGTGTAGGAGCATTAAACTGACCTGCAGCTGCACCCCCAGTACACATGACTGGAATGACCACATGGTCATTCCACATCAATTCTTCTATTTCCTGGACAGTCCTTGGTCCCCCTTCAACTAATATACAGATATCTATAAGCCTGGCTATCACGGAATTGCGTTGTTTCATACTATTTCCAATGAAAATAGTTTGTCCATAAGGTACTTTATAAAACGTTTTATATTCTCTGTTTTGTCGAGTTTTCTTTGAAAGATCTTCAGAATCTTGAAGTGGCAGAATATGGTAAAGCAATTGAGGCTTTTCTTGCAAAAGTTCACGCTCCTCACAAAAACTTCGACTAACTGCTTCTCCAACACCATAAAAACCGTTACTAATAAGTGAAACAAACCTAAGTGATGCCAATTCACTACCGATTGCATGACAGATAGCTTCTGATTTAGGGTTAAAAAATTTGCTGCTTCCACAAATATAAACACATAATCTTTTCACTATCTTTTTCTCAGCTTCAAACACAAGTTTCTGAACATTTGATTCCTCACAGCTTAGTTCTTTGGAAAGTGGCGACTTAAGGGATATCTCTACTTGTTTTCTGATGTCTTCAGAAAATGCTTCTTTATTTCTATCAAACATTTCATTTTCAAACAGAACAGAAAGTGAAGATGACAACAGAATATCTTCATATTTAACTAAAATGACCCGCTTTCTAAGTTCACAGTAGAAAGCCTGTTGCAAAGAAGTTTTTGAATTACAGTATGCTTCCGATAAAATCAGTATTGCAACTCCAGCCTCATTAGCTTGTTTACGAAATAACTTCATCCTATCTAAGGACACAGTTGAAAGAGTGCAGGTTGACCCTTCAGTGCAATAATCACTGCCCTGAGAAAGGCTAATACCTCCTTCTGTGCTAAATGAAAACTGTAATGAAGGTCGCTTATTCCAATGGAAAAACTTAAAAGATTCATTGCTGCTCTCACACTGACTTGTAACCACATCATTAAAGCCTTCTGTTGTAGATGTGTGTAAAGACTCAAGTATTGGAGTACTAGGAGTTTGTGGAGAACCACTGGTTGCACTGGAAACTTCATCTCCTGAACAAGTAAGTCTTAAAATATCTGTAGAACACCATACTTCACAATCTACCTTATAAAGAATAAGCCGAAGATGTTCAGCAAAATCCTGCTGGTTTGGATGGACACTGATCACCACCAGTGGCTTTCCTTCTCTTGGAAGGTTGATTTCTGGAAATTTTTCAGATACAAGACTTGGACAACTTCGTAATTGTGGCTTTAGTGATGGTTCTTCTTTAGCATCAGTATCATTCTGGGTTATAAGAGTTTTACATCTCTCAGTAATAGCCTCTGCCACCTGTTTAACATATGGCAAGTCCCAAAAACGAATGTCTGTAGCACGTTTTTCTTCACCATTCTTCTTAGCCTCTTCTATATCCTTAGACGATTTCCATGGAATATACTGCACGGAAGAAAACTGAATAGCCAGACACTCTGGAGGCCAATAATCCAGAAAATTAACAGGAATTATGACCTTAGCCATCAGGTCAGCTAATTTTACCTCTCTGTTTGTCCACTGTGTTCGTCCATACTGTTGTGTTATTAGTGGAATAAAAATCTCACAATTAGTCACGGCTGCATTAAGTGCATCCTGCCAGTCGTGCCCACCATATATCTCGTCAATATCTAGATACACACTGAAACCCATATCCTTAAGTTGTCGTTTCAGATCAACTGCATGGTGAGCTGACTCTGCTCGTACATAGCTTATTAAAATATGTTTTGAGCCTTCAGTTGAATGTGACTGTTGATAGATCAGATTTCTATTTAGGCTTATACTACTATGAGCTTCCACTACATCCTCTTCTCTTACCTCACTATCATGGTTATTCTTCCTTCTTTTCTTACTTCTATTTTTGTTATCCACATCATCAATTTCATCAGATCTGTAAAAGTTAAAGAAAAAAGTAATATGTTGTCTCAATAAGTACAAAAGTACTTCATATTGTTACTTTTCACTGTAGATGATTTATGTCATGCAATTCAAGCAAATAAGATCCTCTTCTCAAACTTATTTTTGATTCACTAAACAATGAAAAGCTTTTAAAATAAAAATAATTAATGCACTCAATTAGAACTCAAGTGTTTTTTCTGTAAAATGCAAGTTACATCACATTGAAGTTAAGGATATTAACAGTAATAGCAAGGAGGTTGAATCTATTTGGGTTTCTGTTTGCTACACAATGGGCTATCTGTGTTCTACCACCCACAGGTATCAAAACCCAGTTTCTAGCATTGGAAGTCTGCGGACTGGATTTCTGATAGCGGATATAGGGGTGAAACCTTTTAGTTGGGACTCGTCACACACCATCAAATAAAACTGATTAAATTAATGAGGAACTTTACAGTGAGATTAAGATTAGTACTTACAGTTTCTAATGAGGTTATAATTGTGGAAGATTTTAATTTTAGGCATATAGAGACAATGAAATCTTAAAGTCAAATCATGAGGTTAACAGGTTTTTAGAAACTGTTCAGGGTGGTTTTCTCCCCCAATTGGTCAGGAACTCTACCAGGAACAATGCTATTCAGATTTATAGCAAAGATCCAATATGCAAATTATTGAGAGGGTGGAGACTGGGGAACATCTGGATGCAAATGATCATTGCTCAATTTAGGTTTATTGTTTCACTGCACATGTTGTGTGGCTGTAAGTAAAAGACCAAGTTGGCTCACAAAAGAAGTTATGGGATGCAATGAAAGAAAAGCATTATAAATTTAGAAGTTTCAATTAGATGACATGATATGAGAATGGGAGGATTAAATATCAGAAGATCTGGCCAAACACAACCTTTAGCAACCAAAAATTGCATATGAAAAAAAAGGTTGACTTAAAAGGTAAAAATGAACAGTAAGAATTTCTTTAAATACATTACAGGTAAACAAAATGTTAGGATGGAAGTAGGACCTTTAGAGATGATAAAGAAAAGTTCTTTTCAGATGATTATGAGATGGCTGATTTGCTAAATTCTACTTTTTCTTCAGTTTTCCCAATTAGCATTTTAGCAATATTCCTCACCAGTGTTTGAAATGAGACTAGGTTGTCTATGAACAACCTTTGAGCCAACTATGGTTGTCCACAATAAACTACAGATGTTCAGTATTGAATTAGTTGATAATAAAAATTACAAAGTTAGTGTTACACTGTCCTGAATCAAATATCACACTATAAAGCTCATTAGTTGATAGAAAATAATGACTTTATCAAGGAACTTCATGAGTAGAATATGACCCCTTTCTCTTCATCACACTTCAGCCATTTTGCCAGGAAAATGTTCTAAAACATTATCTTGATCATATTCATGACCAGTTCCTCTTTTCAAACACTTTGTGCCTCCTTTGTCTAGATTGAATATTTTGACACAGAATTAAAGCTTGTTTAGCTATTCCAAATCCATAACTTACATGAAAAACAGTATCCAAGTCTAATGCACCAAAACATGTAAAATGTAAATGGCAGAAACAAAAGTGATGTTATCAATTTTTCAAGTGATGATCATTTATGGTTTCAAATTGTGACAGACTTGCAAGACATTATAATGAATGCTCTTATTGGTAAACAGTATGTGTAGTCTTGACTATTCCATCCCACATAACTCAGAAAAATGGCGTGTAAAGACATACTACTTGTAATTTATAGAGTACTCTAACCACCTAGACTGCCATGGGATTGAACCATGTTGTGGTTGTCCTATAGACAATATGATAGTGCTTTTGAGTTCTCCAGCAATAATTTTGGTTGTTTCGGACAATTAGAAACCACTTTGAACAAGATGACCACATTAATTCTAAGCTTGTTAAGAAAAAATTAAGTTTAATCCATTGACTGTGGCTACTCTAAATGCGCATGGAATTTTTGCAAGCCATACAATATATACAACCCGCCCGTATTCAACTTCTGGAGGCAGACCATACATTATACGGTGAATCAGCATTCAATAGGTTAAAGAAAGATAAGGTGGCAGAACAATATAATATTTCCATAAGGGTTTTGAAGGAGGTTAAAGATTGAATATGTGAGTCATTTACTAATAATTTTTACAGGTCCTTGAACAGTGGACAGGAGGAAGCTGATTAATCTTATTCCTCTTTTCAATGGAGGTGATAAAAATTGTCCAGAGGATTAATTATAAAACTATTAATCTTAAATCAGTGGTGGTGAAAGTTTTGAAAGTTTGATGAAAAATGTTTTACAAATTTTATTCAACATATAACATTCAAGAGCAACAAGCTAGCCCTTATCAATCAAATATTTATAAAGCCTTCCCTTAAACTTACTTCATCCACCACATCTGAAGACAACACATACAAAAAGGTTAAATACTTTGTTAGAAAAATAAAACTGTTGGACCTAAAGAAGACTCTTACCCTGTCAAAATTTATATTTGTGATCTAGTTTTCCCATTCTCATCATTAAGTACGAAAAAAGATGATGCAAAAACACTATCAATTCCCTCAGAGAAAAAAACTTTATGATATCTTAACCTGTCATTGTCTGACCTTTCATCCAAATAATTATTCTAGTCAGCCTCTTCTGAACCCTTTGCAACAATTCAATGTTCTTCCAAAATTAAAGAGCCCATAAGTAAATACTGTACTTCAAATGAAGCCAAACCAGTGGCCCATACAATGAAATAATAACTTATTTACACATGTATTCAATATTGCTCTAGAAACAACATAAAATCCTATTTGCCCTGTCACTAGTAAAAGCACACTGCTTGGATGGCTTAACAAGT